AGAATCTCGCTCCACTAACCCGCTACTTTTGAAACTCATAATACTCTCCCTTCGATTATCGAGATTCCGAATCATGCACTTCCACATTATAATAATATGTCATAATTCAGATTACAAATAGTCAAACCTCGGATTATAGTTCGTAATTAGCTTTAAAAAATGGAAAATTACAGTCCTTAATTTCACGAATTTGCAAGTACTTTCCTCGTGACCCTCACGAAAATGAAAGCTTCGGACGCTTGACCCTCGTTAAATTGAACCCTTGTCGATATGAAGAGTAATTAAATAGTGTAATTAAATCAGGAAAGTTCCGAGAATCTTCGGGATTTTAACGGTGTAACGTGGGGAATTCTCTGAACAGTCTAGAGTCAGATCCCTTGGACGATTTTCCATCGATATGAATGTCGAACCGGGAATTTCCCGACTTTTCACACGAAGTGCCTCCTCGATGAGAATGCTTTTTTTCGTGTAGTATTCTCTAATTATGAAAAGTGACTTTGAGAATCTTTCAACATGTTCATTTATTAAATTACGCGGTTCATTCGATGAATGATTTCATCTCATCTTATCATGGTAATTTTTCAAATTAACACTGCCATTTAAATAACGAAAAACGAAATTCCATTGTTCCGAACAGATTTATGTATCGTGCCGAAGTTGAAACATAAGAGTCATACGGCGTGATACAAGAGCCAGAAAAAAATGATTTATCGATCACGAGTACGTCCCAACGAAAACCAATATGAACCAGAGACGGAAAAGAAGAACTCTTCGTTAAGGAAAGGATTCAAGAGAGAACTATCGAATGATAACGTGAGCAAGGAAAAGAAGGTGGACATTGATCATATTACTAAAATAAAAACAATTGATTCTAATGAAAGCAAAAATCAAGAAAACAAAAAAATGTCAAACCCGAAAAAAAAAAATTCACAAATCGAGAGTGCAGAAGTTGAAGCGTAAAAGTCACGCGATGAGATATAAAATGCAGAAGGAGTTGATTTATCAATCACGAGCGAATCACAACGAAGACCAATATGAACCAGAGACGGAAAAGAAGAACTCTTCGCCAGGGAAAGGATTCAAGAGAGAACTCTTGAATGATGACGTAAGAAAGGAGAAGAAGGTGGACATTGATCATATTAATAAAAAAAAACAATTGATTCTAATGAAACCAAAACTCAAAGAAACGAAAAAAATTACAAACCTGAAAAAAAAATAATTCACAAATCGAGAGTGCAGAAGTTAAAGCGTCAAAGTCACGCGATGAGATATAAGATGCAGAAGTAGTTGATTTATTAATCACGGGCGAATCACAACGAAGACCAACATGAATCAGAAACGGAAAAAAATAACTATTCATCAGCAGAAGAATTCAAGAGAGAACTTTCGAACAATAACTCGAACACGAGGAAGAATCAGGACACTAATCCTATTAATGAAAAAGAACCATCCAATGTCAATGAAACTCAAAATAGAGAATACGGAAAAAAATAAAAACTGAGGAAGAAATGGTTCACAAATCAAGAGTGCAATCCACTTCGCCCAGAACTCATAAGTATTCCACTCGTGCCAGAATGAGTTCATCGTCAAAAGAAAACCAAACAAAAAAAGGAAGGGAATTTCGGAAAAAACCACCAGAATTGCCTAAAAGAGATAGAACGAAAGGTACAGAAACTTCTCGACAAGATAATGTCAAACATAAAGAACGCATGAGAACCCTTCGCCAGAACAGAGATTATTCTGATCGAGAACGTCGAAAAAATAAAGACAGACTCGATGAAAAAAGAATGAATGAAGACTACGTGAGGAATGAAAGAACTACGAACAGGAATAAAATGAAATCAGTCAGAGCAGTCGAAATGCTGAATTTCCGTGAACGCTATAGAACCATGATCAACGCAAGACTGGAACTAGACAAAGAATTCTACAAAGAGTTCAATCTCATCAAAAATTTCATAGAAAATCGTAAGAATTATCCAGACGTTGCATGCATCTGCTGTGATAATTTATTTTTTATGAAATTCATGACGAAATATCATCGATCTCGATACTCAGCCAAGTTGAATTGGAATGAAACTCATTTGGAATCTTTCTCTTCAAAAATTGAGAATAACCATTCACAGTACATATGCACTACGTGTCACAGACATGTATCAGAGGGAAGAATTCCAAAAACAGCAGCATTCGACCTTAAATTACCTAAATTCCAACTTCATTAAAAAAATTATCTCCTCTGGAGGACCGAATGGTGTCACCATACGTTCCATTCATGCAAATCAGAGCTTTGAAACCCCACTGTGCAACAAATCCGCATTTATCCATTCATGGAAGCGTTGTAAATGTTCCTGTAGAAATCAACGAAATGATTTGTGTACTTCCCAGGAAATTCAATGACATGTCAACAATACAAATCCAATTCAAGCGACATTTGGATCATAAATCGAATTATATGTATGAAACGATCAAGCCATCGGATGTATGTGGTGCATTACACCACCTCATATCTACTACACTCTACAAGGAAAATGGAATAACGATTGATGAAAAGTTTTTCGCTAAGTACGACAAGAAGGATGATTTCTTATTGGATTTCACTGTTGAGGAAGAAACTGATGAAAAAACTCGTAAATCTGGGAAAACTTCAAATAAAGATGGTGGAAAAGAATCTGAAGCTGAAGGAAATTCAGAAACGGATGCATCTCCACAAGAAGAATCTGATGAAGACGAATATTTATCATCTACGTATCAAGATGAAGTACTGATCATCGACGAAAATTCAGAATTATCTACTGAAACATGCGTTGTGGCTCCCGGCCAGAACAATACTCCAGCTGCCTGGCACGTAAAAAACCAAATGGACGAATTATCCTTTCCAACTATTTTCGTAGGAGAAACTTTCGATTCAAATAACAAATTGAAGACTTATGCTCAACGAGCTAAATTTCTAGCAAGAAACCAAGATCGAAGATCATGCCAGTCAACACGGATATTATTCATGGCAAAATGAAAACTTGAAAAGAGAGTTATGTCCTCGATCAATATATGTGTACGGAAACTACAGCAAAATAATCAGATAACTGCTGGTCAGGTTAAAAACAAAGGATATATTAATGATATGATTCGCCAAGATGAAGGTTATTCCTTTCTGAAGGATTAGGAATATTCCTAACGAATGCACATTAAGAGAAGATTTTTGGAAAATAGTGACGATGTGTTTCAACTTCATTACAAAATCCACCTCCAATGGCATGGAGGGGATGAGGATGAATTATAGGGGCCTTAAGGAAGTTTACACGTTTCCTAAAAAATCAGAGAATTATGGGTTTTTTCCGAATGTAAGATGATTCGGGCGTCCAGAGAATTTAAAACAATAATGAGATTTTCTGAAAAAAATCTCAAAAATCCACAAGTTTTTCAGAAATTAGAAAAAATTTTCAGTATCTCTCAAATATTAGAGAGTTTTTGAATAACCCATGGAAGAACAATTGATAGGGGAAGGTGGAATTTTCCAAAGGAAACTAACGAAGGAGTCACGTGACCTCAACTACTGTACTCTAATTGATTCAAATGGGAAAGAAAAACATAATTCGAAAAATCTGAGAACAAAATTTCACCAAAATTTCCAAGTTTTTCAAACAAAATTCACAAGAATTTCGGGATTTTATGGAAAATTTGAAGACATTTCAGACGAGTCATCAAAGTTTCAAGTTCATCCCATCGTCGAATAAAGTTGTGTAAAAGATTATGAAATTTTTGTAAAAAAAACTGCGCCAAGAAAAAGTTTTGTTTGGTTCTTACTGGAAAGTAGAAATTTTTGAAAAATACAAAGGAATGAAAAAGAAACCCAAGTCAGCAATGTCGAATAAACGAAAATAATGCACAATCAGATTTCTATAAGAGAAATAGTTTCAAATCGAATGAGGATTTTAAAAAAATTCTTGATGAAATAAAAAATTACTAGAAGGAGGACCAACATCCTTAGCGCGGATCAGAAGATGGAGAATTAGATTGATACTAGACAATGAGTTGAAAAACTCCGCGCCAAGAACGTTGGTCCTCCTTCTACTAATTTTTTATTTCATCAAGAATTTTTTTAAAATCCTCATTCGATTTGAAACCATTTCTCTTATAGAAATCTGATTGTGCATTATTTTCGTTTATTCGACATTGCTGACTTGGCTTTCTTTTTCATTTCTTTGTATTTTT